CACAGACACACACACACTCACTCCTCTGTACTCCTCTCCTGTGATGTCTAGGATCCTGAAGCAGTACGACCATCCTAACATTGTGAAGCTGATTGGAGTGTGCACTCAGAAACAGCCCATCTACATCATCATGGAGCTCATTCAGGGTAAGTATGACCCTGCTTGACTCTAACTTTATATCTCGCAGCTTGTTTACCTGACAGCTTCAAGCTTTATTGTACTATTATTGCTTGCCCTCTTTGTTTCTCCATAATCACTCAAAGTGTGTGTGTGTGTTTGTGTCTATATATTTCATAAGGTGGTGATTTTCTCTCCTTCTTGCGGCATGAAAGTCACAATTTGGCGCCTAAGGTGTTGGTCAAAATGACAGAAAATGTAGCATCTGGCATGGAGTACCTGGAGAGCAAGAAGTGTATCCACAGGTTGGTCAATTGTACTTTTACTGAAAGCAAGAAGAAGTGGTTTGGTATGAAAAGGAAGGCGATCAATGGCCGCAACACGACGGGGTCAAGAGGAAGTTTCAATTACATGCAATAATAGTTGATGTTGCATTGTCAACATTGTCATTGTAACAGAGGACGTTTATACACAATTAATGTCAAGAGAACTCTAACCCCATCAATAGCCAATTTAAATTAATGATGACATCATTCGACTTTATAATACATTTAGAATTAGGCTATATTATAATTCCAACTGTACAGTCGAACAGGTTGATGTCAACATAATAATGAAGTGTAATTTACAAAGGATACTCAAAATTGATTTATAGTAATGCCATACACAATCCTTTAGTGAAAATGTGTACAACAGCAGAATAATTGCAAATGACTCCCACGAGCAGTCATAAATTATGTTTGTGTCTCAGAGAAAATTCAAAATAAGATAAAATTTGTGAAGTTCTCCTAAATCAGTTATACAAACCAGTTAAGAACAAATATGTTCATACAAGTGGTTCTTGCATGAGGCCCATGGTCCATATTGAAAGTATATTTTCAGCTTCTGAATAATTGTATATTTTGCACATTGTGTTACAATAAGAGTAAAACTAATTGTAAAAGAAACGTTTCATACTGTGTACAGATATACTGTGTACGACATAACAAACACAAAGAAGCGTCCTTAGACTTAGATTGTGTACTTTATGTCGGATTTTTTCCAAACTGTGTGGTGGATCTAAAGCCCCCATGAATTTAACATAAAACACAGCAGAGCAGTGTGTCAGACAAATAATGGTTGCAGTGAAAATTAATTAGTTTGCTTAATAAAGCATGTTCATTTTACATACAGTATGATGTAGTTTCCACAACAACTAGAGTGGTACGAGCTGCAGGCAGGACCTCAAAGCATTTATGATGCATAATACAAAACTTAATTTACTTCCTCATCATTAACTTCACCTACAGGAACAGTTAAGCAAACTGCAATTTCCCCGCAACACTTCCCCGTATGTTGTTGTAACAATCAGTTGATTGAAATGAGAAATAAAACGTTTTCTTAATAGAGGAAGCGGGTATCATGCTCTGCTGACTGACTTACATTCTCTTTCACTTAAATAAAAAAGATGGCACACCAATGAATGTTCACAGTAACTTACAATAAGTGCATTCACACCATTGACAGTATGCGATTCTCACTCAAGAACAAGAGATAGATGTCATTAAAAAACTGTAACCCTGCCAATTAAAACATCTAAAAGCGTGTTCAGAGAGCTACGGTGCAGGTTTTGTTTTATTTTTTACCAACTGAGACATTAGTACACGCTAACGTGGTGGAAGATGGGTAGTGACTCAGTTGGATTTATTCCACAGAGAAGAACCTCTTTACATAAAATTCTATTAAACACATTTAAAGGCCCAGTGTGTAACATTTAGGAGGTTCAATTGGCAGAAATGGAATATATATTCATAAGTATGTTTTCATTAATGTATAATCACCTCAAAATAAGAATCGTTGGGTTTTTGTTAGAATGAGACGTTTTTATCCACAGACCCTGTGTGTTGCAGTCCACCATGTTGAACCACCATGTTTTTACAATAGCCCAGAAAGGACCAATCAAGCACTGGCTGAGATAGGGCCTTCTGCGTTCAATTCACAGCATACTCATACTCAAATACAGACATGAGTGGTGTTCAGTTAGCTGGTGTGCCACTAAATCCTACACACTGGTCCTTTAAACCATATTAAACACATCAAAGTTTGCAAAGAAACAACAGACTGGAAGTTTGGATATTAATAGGCTGTAAAGACCGAGTGCAAGGATGCTGAAATGGGTGTGATGTGTTCTTTTAGAACATTTTTTACAAGCCAAGTGAAAAACTGGCTCACAAGCCCGACTTCAGCTACAGAGACAGCCTCTAAAGACTGTAGATCTCTGAATGAGTGAGTACTTGTTATAAAGATCAAACATGGGCTTTTGTATGTAGCCTACAAACATAACAAATCTTGCTTTCAGGACACAAGGAAGGAAAAATGAGAAAAAAGCTGAAATACTGAAATATTGCAAGAATATGTCAAACTGAGAAGCTAATTATTTGTGAAAATACTAAATTATGGAGTCGTATGCATGTTTTCTGTAGTGTTTTAGGGCATTTGTTGTTGAGTGGGAGAAGTTGCGGTGCTTTGGAGGCACCAGTGGAGGTTGTAGGTGCTGTGGAGAAAACATGAGGTTGTGACACCCGGCTCATTATGGGAGTGCGATTTGCCCAGCGGGCACAGATCAGAGCAGGCTGCTGCTAGCTGCTCAGCCTGTAATGCTGCATGTCAAACTGCCTCACATGCAACAGCAGAGACATGACAAAAGTGCCTGTTCTCACGCTTTTTAGTACCGTCTCTTCTCTAGCTAGTTTTTTTTTGTCTTTTTTGTATCCAGTTTTCATCAGCCTCTGCATACAACTGTCTTAAGTCTTTTTTTGTTCTGTCTTGTTGTCTCTTTTAAAGGGACCTGGCAGCGAGAAACTGTCTGGTTGCAGAGAACAACTTGGTGAAGATCAGTGACTTTGGGATGTCCCGTCAGCAAGAAGACGGTGTCTACTCAACAGAGGGCGGCCTCAGACAGATCCCTGTCAAATGGACGGCTCCTGAAGCCCTGAACTATGGTACGCCACAACTGCCTCTGCCCTGCAGTCACAACCAGAAACACTTCTCCTGTCTCTCTCTGCCAATAGTAAACTACTTTAACTGAAAGACCTGTGCATGTGCCTTTGTCCATGCTGCCCTCTGCTGGTGTTTTCAGGTCGTTATACCACAGAGAGTGATGTCTGGAGCTTTGGTGTGTTACTGTGGGAGACCTTCTCCATGGGAATGACACCCTACACGAGCATGAACAACCAACAGACACGAGACGAGGTGGAGAAAGGTAAAGACTCATATGTTGTCAATGTGTTTGTGCTCAGATGCCATTCCTGAATTTCATGTTTTAGAAAATGTGTGGAGTGCTAAGCGTCTCTGTGTGTTTCAGGATACCGTATGCCTGCTCCACACGGCTGCCCCGTGGAAATCTCCAGGATTATGAACAACTGCTGGCAATACGAACCCAGAAACCGGCCGTCTTTCAAGAAACTTCGGGCTGAGCTCAGTGTCATATACAACAAAATTACATAACAGAAGCCTGTGGATTTGACACCTACTGTAGGCTACATTATAATCTTTTTTTTGTTCAGGAAAAATGTTAAAATCCAGTATGAACACTGAAACAGACCTCCAAGAAACATGCAAATTGAAAAAAATGGTTAAAAAAAATATTGAACAAACAAACAAACAAGACCAGTTGATGGCAGCATTCTTGTTTCTTCTCTTGTTGTCCTGTTTTGACAGCACAAATGTGTGCTACTTACTGCTTTTTACTTGAATTGTTTAAACCTAACACCATTGTGGTCTGTCTCAAAGAAACCACAGAGATGTGTTAAACTGACACATCCTCTTGAGGAGTGTAGACGCTACCAACACAGACACAAGGACAATTAGGTTTGTCTTGGCACAGTCTTGTGCGACGTTTTTGTCGGTTTCGTTGCCTGTTGGGTAGAGTCCTGCATTCAGAATGATATTTAAGTAAAAGTACAAAAGTATTCAAAATATACTTAAAGTACAAAAAGGTCATAGTATTCTTTATGCAGAATGAAACATTTCAAAATAATGTGTATTATATTAATGTATTATTTTGTGTTAATAATCTGAATTTGTAAAGTAACTTGTAACTAAAGCTTTTAAATAAATATGGCAGTAGAGTAAAAAGTAAAAAGTATAATATTTGCTTCTTGAGCTATCTTTTTGATTCTTTTTGCACAGGATGTTAACTTAAAGCTGCTACAATTAATATTTTTACCTCAACAATGGATGAAATGACTGTGTGATAAGCGACGCCCATAGTGACTAAACCCACAGAGATTATCACCAGACTCTCTTCAGCTCTACAGTGTATCTGTTAGCTTATTACCTGTTAGCAGGTAGCTACCTGCAGTTATTATATTTAGTTAGAATATTCTGAACAGATTTATGAATGTGGACCAGTTAACTGCTGACCTTTAACTAATCCTGAGGTAAATTTGAACACATTTCACTATAAGGACTTTGACTATTTACGTCACGTGAAAAATAATCTTTTAAAAAAAATATTGTGACGTCAAAAGAAGTGACGTCCCTCCTCGAAACCCTATACAGTAATTTATAAACTCTAATATTTTTGGTCTGACTACCATTAAGGAAAAAATATGGTAATCAATTTAATAAGTTAGACCGAGGTTTGACAACCTGCGGCTCCGGAGCTGCCATAGACTGACATAAATGATTCATGTTTTGACCTGGAGGAACACGTACACAAGTATGGTAAAGTGTGATTATACTTTCAGCAAGCATATAATTCCTTTCAAACAAAGAAAATGTTTTATTTAGATATTTTGAGGTAAATTCCTTTGAAATTTTTTGTGGCCTCTGTGTTAGTGGAATTTTACCGTGTTAAAAACATAAAAAAAAACAATAACAAATTAAAGTTAAAATTATTTGTGTTTTTAAACATTAGCCTGGATTCTGGTTGAAGAAACAATTATACCTAAATTTATAGAAAAACAGCCTGAAATTAGTCTGTAAGCTTTAAATTTTCACAAGGAAATTATTTTGGTGCAGTACACTACATATGAACTGAATGAAAGACAGAAATTTGTAATCACAAAGATCTGTGTGTGTGATGTAACTAAAAACTGTGATACAGCTACTCTTTGACACGTGATTAAAGTTCATCTCAGTGGGGCGTGTCTGTATTTACAGTCTTTGACCAAACTATGGTCTTGCTGCTGAAATGGATCTGCTTGTGTAAATTATACTGAGTCTGTGTATGTGGTGATGATTTTACCCCTACTGTAATCATTTGGTGCCTGAAGTGAAAACACTTTGCCCCTTGTATTTTGATGTATTAAGCTTTGGGGGAAACAATGTCTGTGTGAAATATCTCAGCATATATTGGATGGATTTGTGAATGAACCAAATTCAAGCATTGACATTGGGACATTTTTGGACATTTGGACATTATTGGCATAAATGAAATATCATATGCATAACTATGTTTTCATTAGTTTATAATCACCTGAATAGGATAATTGTTATGTTTTTGTTTTCTTAGAATGAGCAGTTTATACACTTTATGGACAAAAGTATTTGGCCACACCTGTTAATTATTGAATTCAGGTGTTCCTATTTTTCGAGTGTTGGTACCTTAACACTAATTCGGTGTAATTTTTGACTCTTTTGGGAGTTAATATTTAACAATTCTTAACACCAACCAGTGTTAGTTTTTCTCAACACTGTTATGTAGTGTTAGACATTAACTCTCTGAGGATCATTTGTTGACTATACAAGTGTTAGCCCCATAACACTTAAAATGTGTAAATACAGCTCCTCCTGGAAGTTATATTTAAATTAAAGTTTGCTGAAGTAAAGGTGGACATATTTTGTGTTTTACAATTAAACATTTATTTAAATATTTGCACCACAAAAAACTGAAATTACATTAAAAAATGTAACAATATGGAACAATATATGTCCTCACTCTCATTAGAGTATTGCTTCTGAAATGGTCTAAAGTAAGTTAACTAGTCAAAAAAAAAATCAAAGCATGTTCATTACTTTGTTCCTGTATACAGTATGCATGAAAGTGTTCATCAAAATAAAGTGTATCAACAGTAGAGGCTATTTTTAAAGCACTCTGTTCATGTAATATTATATTACAGATTTTGTTGAATACAGGTAGGTCATTGGATGTTCTTCATTTCTGACCTAACTTGCAGTTAAAACATCTGAACATGGATCTAAATGTAATGTTTGACAGACTAATTCTCCACCTTCCAAGCTATCAATGCTTTTAATCTTCAAAGGACCAATCTGAAACCGCTTTCGTAAGATTTTTAAAAATTGTGTTTTGCTTCAAAATTGTGTTTTGCTTCAAATCGCATACATATGTATAAGAGGGCCAATTTTTTTAATACACCGTGGATAATGAATCATTAAGTGGTGTTTGGGAATCAATTTCTTATCAGGGAACAATGTTTTGAACATGTTATGGTGGTCACAAATCAAATGTTTTAGGTAACATATCATGCCATCAGTAAGGACAGGGGAAAATACTATATTGACAATTTGTATAAAGAGAACTAAGTTCCAGTGATTGTTGTTTCTTTCGACCACATCACCAAAGATAAGTGGGGTATATGACTGAATGGCGTTTAAACCTAAGTGCTTGCTGTTATCATCCATTTTTAAGCCACTTGGTTTGTTTTTACGTTCCAGATGACCATAATTAAAACTGTATATCCTGTATAAGATGTATAAGATATGTATCCATTTTTGACCAGGTACTGAAAAAATAGCTTTAACTCATACTGCACAATACCCTCTAACAAATCATGCATGATATCCACAGCAAAATTGTCAGTGCTGTGAAAATATTGTAATGTATTGAATACACAAGTTTTTTTTAACACCATAAACAGCAGATAGAGAAGGATCTTCACTTAGTGCATTACAATGTTCAATATGAAGCTCTTTGGAGCGTATAATTAGTCCAGGGTTATTCTAACTGTGCTCCAACCTTTCTGAACTGGTTTCATTTTAATGGTCTTGCAGTATTCGTGCTCTCAGTTCCTTGATTCGTGGGGTTTCCTTTGCATTTCCAACACTGATGTTGTACACTGTCGTTTGGATGAAAGTGTAAAATGCGGAAAGCGCTTCAACATAGGAGAGACTGAAGACGTAGTGAGTTTTGAATAGCACATTAAAAGCAGCCACTGATGTCTGAGCCTTGCATGGGATGGCTTTCTGGTCCACAACATTGTAGAACCTTTGGATTTTCTTCTTTTGCTCTCCGGTGCAGAGGAGGAAAGGATGTCTTGCATCAACTTTATCCAGGAATGTAGTGAGGCTGGCTCCCTTCTGAAGTTTGAATGACACATCCATGCATATACTTAGCATAACATACTAGATAAGCAGCAGGAGGGGAGGAATAAGATGAGAAGAAGATAGGAAGAGAATGAGAAAAGGAGGAGGAAATAAATAGCATGTACTTTCAAAGCTTTTCCAAAACATTCTGTTAATTCCAAACCATTACCATGCCTGGAAAACTATTTTTCATTTTTTTAATTTCATAACTGTTATGGGAATTTCTTTACTGTGGGAACCGTGGTGGTAGGACAAAAAAGCTTATGGTACTTACCTTAAGAAATCTAAGAAGATGGTTGGCTGCCTGTGCTGAGCTTATCTTGGGTGTTTTTTTCTGGCCTCTTGATGTAGGGGGCAGCAGATGCAACAGTAACATGATAGCAGACATTATCCCAGCCTAGAAGACAAATATTTGACAAAGAACATCAACAAAGCATTAGAAAAAACTATTACTTCTTGCTACTACAGCTGCCATTTAGCTAAAACAGCCCTGTGATAACAACTCCCTTTAAGAAAGCTAAAATTATGTTTTTGTTGTTTAACAAAATTCAACTTCAACTATTTTTTTAATTAAAATGACTAAAGAGCTTAATTCATTTATTTAATTTATCTAGTTTTGGTCTATTGTTGCCTGTTGGACTTGACAATGACAATGGGTTGTATTTTGGATACAGAAAAACTGCATATTTACCATAGTCATTCTCCGCCTCAAGGTCAAAAGCTGCCCGCAGCTCCTCAACATGAGGACTTGAGGGAAGACTCTGGCATTCTGCAATGATTTTCTGCTTGAATGAAGGCCATTTTCCCAGAAACTTTGCAGATACATGGTTCCCAAACATCATGGAAAAACCCTGTTGAATCTTTAAACAGAGGCACAACACCATATGAGGGAAGTACATTTCGCATTTAGAAGGAATCAGTTTTCAAATAATTTCTAATACTGGTAATAATCTCTACATATCCTTACCAGTCCAGGTATGTCAATGAAGCGAGGGAAGACATCCAACACTGAAGCTGTTGCATTATGGTCATGAACCAGCTTCTGTCTGTACTCAAAGGTGGCTCTCATCTTCTCTTAAACCAGGGCTGTATCTGTTGAGTGTCTCATTATAATGAGAGCCCCCCTGCATTCCTCACCAAAGAGCTGTTCAACAATTACCAGAGATTCTCGCTGGATTGTTGGGCTCTCCTGGAAATTAGACCTTGAATGCCCACGGACGCCATCATAGGTGTTGCGTTGGACTGTCTTGAGTCTCCAGGCAAGATAGCCAGAATTG